TGGGATTACAGGTTTTGGCCATGTTAATCTTTCTGTTTTCCCAGGAGCTATGCCTGACCATGGCTTTAGTTCAGGCTTCCACTTCCTTCCTATACTCAGGAAACCCTTTCCTTTCTGTCTGAACTCTATGGCTCATTAGACAATTCCAATTTTAAAACTGAGGGTAGCTGGAAGTGGTAATATATGCTTGTAATCCCAGCCCTCAGGAGGCTGGGCAGGGGGTTGCCACAAGTTCAAGGCTGACCTGAGCTACATAGTCAGACCCAGTCTCAAAACACCAAAAACCAAACCAACAAAAACCCTATTATCCCACACTGTAGAGAATTGCTTCTCAGTGATATATTCTGACTTCTGGGCTTCCTTGCCTCAGAGGGAACTCCTGAGTAATCATTACTAAACAAACAGCATAGTCACACCCAGAAAACAGTATGTCAATGTTTAAAGGGTAGCTATTTCCACACCATAACTTTCCTAGGACCTGATCTTTGCCTTGTTTGAAGACAATCAGGATTTTCTCAGTTTCTGTGAGTGACTGAACTCATCTCAATACATGCATGCTACACAATCACGGGCCGGCAGCATTCATGTACAGTCTTTCCCTGTAGCCATCAAACTTCTGTTTAGTCTAGAGAGGGCACACCTGCGTCTGAGGCCACAGGGATGAAGCCTCAAAGTAAAAACTAGGCTTTTGGGGCTGGAGAGATGGCTCAATGGTTAAAAAGAGTTTTTATTCTTCCAGAGAACCCAATTTTGGTTCTCAGTCTGTAATTCTAGCTCCAGGGTTCCCAAGGACATCAGAACACATGTGGCAAACATACCTACACACACACACACACACACACACACACACACACACACACACACAGAGCGAGAGAGAGAGAGAGAGAGAGAGAGAGAGAGAGAGAGAGTACAATTTTTTTAAAAGGTAGGCTTTTGAGGGTTGTTCAGAGCAATCTTAGAGGTCTAGTGAAGGAAGGCACTCTTGACTCAGGTGCTGAAGGTTAAGGCTCCACATTGGACAACTTCTGTCAGCATGGAGAGGAAAGCAGGTGGGCTGTGTGGTGGGCACTTGTTAGGCCTGTGCCCCAGCAGGCTTCCTTGCTCTGACAGACAACTCTTCATCCTCACCCCTGGGAGGTACTTGCTCTCCTTTGCTCACTTTCTCTGGCTCAATTTTACTTTCCAGCCCTTTCCCTCTAGGTATTCTCAGGCTATAAAACCCCAGGGTGAAGACCTGAGTCTGAATGACTCACACAGCTTCTCAGATCAGACAAAGCCAGTCACACCTTGTAAAAAATTAACTTTGCAAAAAGTCATCAGAGTCCCCTTAGGGGCTGGGGACATGTGTTGTAACAAAGGTGGAGGGTTCAGTTGCTTTGCAAAGGAGCCAAGCATGTGCACTTTTAAGTTTAATGAAAATTCAAGCAAATTAAAGAATGTTCCCCTTGGCTTAAAAACCAAGTGTGTGTCTCTTCTTCCAGCCTTTAAGGTTGTAAATGTCTGCGAGGAAACCTTTTAGGATGGTTTGTAGAAAAGCCCTCCCTTTAAAACCTAAGGCAAGTCACTACCTCCGCTGTAGGAAGAAGGGAGGAGGTGGGTGTGTTTCTGGGAAGTGAGAGATTAGCTGGACTTGATGAACAGCCAGGTCATTCTTCCCGGCTTCTCTTGTTTCTATAGGAACAATGGAGGCAAGACCTTCAGCTGCCCTCTCTGTGGACAGATCTCCAAAGGCATATTGGTCTGCCCTTGTTTCCACACTCTCTGATTTATTCTAGACTTCACAGCCCGGCATGATTGGATAGTAGGGATTAGAAAAATTCTTGGAAGAACTGGGGAGGCAGCTCATTTAATAGTAGAGTAGAGCTTGCTGTTGGGAGATAAGCATCTGAGTTTGGATCCTCAGTGCCCATGCAAAAAACCAGGTGCAGTGACAGCACCTGCAATTCCAGCCTTGGGAGGCAGAGTTAAGAGGATTCCTGGGGTTCCATGGCTTGCCAGTCTAGCCAGTTGGTGAACTCCAGGCCCAGTCAGTGGCTCAAACAGTAAGGTGGAGAGTGATTTATGAAGGTATGGATTTTGACCTCTAGTTTCCATATTCATTCACACGTACACAATTGCATTCACACACACACACACACACACACACACACACACACACACACACACACACACACACAAAGTGCTTGGAGTAAAAGTGTATCACAAAACAAAAGCAATTACTACAACAACTTTTAGATACTTTGTTTTTACATTAGCTCTTTCCAAAGTATTAAGTGCTTATACACACACTTATATACAAACTTTGGCACCTTTGTTCTTGGCGGCAGCCTCCGGTTACTGTGTCATGCAGGTGTGTTATTCTAGAGGGACAAAGTCAGTTGCTATAGTAACAGGACAGGCTTATGCTGAAGTTTGTTGGGAATTTTTTGTTTGATTTTTGTTTTGATCTTGAGACAGGGTTTCATTACGTATCTCAGCTGGCACCCAAATCTCAATCCTCCCGCCTCAGTCTCCTGAGTGCTAGCTAGCATTATAGACATGTGGTACCAGTCCTGGCTTACACTGAAGTTTGATTCTACTGCCCCCCCCCCCAAGTCATGATGCTCTTCAAGTCATCTTGTCACGAATCCATCAAAATGAGTCTTATAACCTTGTTCTCACAGGGTATGAGTCTCCCCCACTGTATGGCTTTGTAGACTGTTAGAAGTGACCCTCTATGGATAGCACAAATTCACAGAAACCTTGACATGGAATCATTATCTTTCATGGCTCCAGGACTGAGTCTGCGTCATGACAATCAAGATTAGTGCTCTCTGCCTGAGGACGGTGGAAGTCATTCTAGAATGCACTTAGCTCTAATGGTAACAAGATGGCTAAGAAATGGCTTTGAATCCTGTTCCTGTTGCTCAATGACTATGACAGAACCTGTGAAAAAGCTCTCAAGGCTTCCAATTCCTCAGCTACAAGAAGGGTGTTAGCACTGTGTAACTGCTATGTTCATGAGCAATCTGTAAGGGGGTGGGAAAGGAAGGAAGGGCTCAGCCTAAAGGCTGATTGACAAATGGGAGCTACTTTGGGTGTTTGTTCCTATCATAATAAAAGTCAAAGACGACAGATTCCAGAGCTGAAGGGCCTGGACCAGACTCTAAAGTCAGCTCTCCTACCAGCTGTGAGATTGTGAGCCAGTCTCTTAACCCTCCCTGTCTCAGTTTCCTCATCAGTAACATGAGAAAAATAGTCATATCTCTCCTGTAACGTTGTTTTGGATTGATTTTCTTAAAATTTAGATTAAATATTGCATGTATACGGATGTGTCAGGGTGTGGGTTCGTGCACATGTGTGCAGTGCTCTGGAGGCTAAAGCTAAAGACAGTTGTGAGCCGTCCAGTGTGGGTGCTGGGAACCGAACTCAGGTCCCCTGGAGGAGCAGAACATTTTCTTAACCACTGAGCCCTCCACCTCATAAGCTTGTTACAGGAATGTATACTATGCTGTTCATGCTTCTAACTTCTTTTTTCAAAACATCCCTGGCTTGGGGCCACCTGATTTTTGTGCTTCACTAAATTTCCATGTCATAACACTAAGATTTTGAAGAAATTGAGTTTTATGTATTTATTTATTTTTATTTTATTACTTGTTATTTTATTATGTATACACTGTTCTGTCTACATATATCCCGGCAGAGGGCAGAAGATCTCATTACAGATGGTTGTGAGCCACCACGTGGTTGCTGGGAATTGAACTCAGGACCTCTGGAAGAGCAGCCAGTGCTCTTATACTCTGAGCCATTTTTCTAGCCCGAGTTTCATTTATTTTTTTATTTATATATTTTTAACAAGATTTCTTTTCACACGTGCGCACATCTGCACATGTGTGTCTATGAGTGTCTGAGAGGATGATGGGAAACAGCCTTGGCTTGTCTCAAGGGTGTTAGGCTCTGAACTTCCATCACTCTTAACTGTGGAGCCATCTCACCAGTCCCTAGAAATCCAGTTTTAGAAATTGGAAAGGGGAGTCTATTTGTTAATGAAAGGCTTCACAGTCTTGGGAAGCAGTTTTTAAACACTGAACCCTGGATACATAGTAATTAGAACCTTCTAGCTGCTACCCAGTTATTGATATTGGTGAACTTTGGCCTTACAGGGTTACATTTGCCTCAAGTCTTAGGCCCTGCACAGTTGTGGTGAGCAGGTTAAGACTGTATTACAGTTTAGGCACTTGTGTGCACTAGCTATATTTAGGCCAGTTGAGATGAGTTTAATATGCCGCATATTGCTTTGAGTCCGGTTGATCCCAGAACAGCTGGTTCCACTAGGCAGAATGATGAAGTCCAATTTTAGAGTGAAGCCCCAGAAAACAAAGCGTTGGGGATGTAGATCTGTGTGTTCCAGTGGAGTTGAGTTGCTGTCTGCCGTCACCCAATTAGCTAGTCAATATCATGTTGTTGTTGTGTTATCTTCTTTATCCTCGGGTTCAAAATATTCTGTGTGAATATAATTAGCATGCGGATGTGTGATATGGCTTCCAGGGGCTGTGTTTATTTTCCAAAATGAAAGAGTCCTGTATTTTTCTAATTATAAAAGTAAATCCCATTTTAGAAATTTTCAAATAATGCAAAAACTGAAACACTATGGAAAAGGCAAAAAACTGCCCGGACTTCTACTGCAGACCCATTGGTGTTTATCTTTCTAGATGTTTCGCAGCACACATATATGTAGATAAGTAATTTGTGGATACCACCTGGTAGTATGCATCTATATTGTAATTTTAATGGGTAAATAAAATTCTACTTCATGACTGCACTATGTTTTATAGTAAGTCAACAGTGATGTTGATGGTTAGACCCCTACCCTGCATGTTTTCAGGAGTATTGAGCAGGACAATTTTCCTTGCAGGAGGTCCCTTGTTGACTTAGAGATGGAGGAATCAGAATCATCTTCCTCTATTGTCCTGGAGCAATAGCGGCAGAGGCTGGAGGGACAGAACAACACCAAGACAGGCATGGCTGAGCAGAGTCTCATTTCATCTGAACAATGGCTTCAGTTGCATGGACTTAAGAGCAAAAAGTTGAGCTTGAAGCAGATCTTGTCCCAGATTGGATTCCCACAGTGTGAAGGTACAGTATTCACAGACGGGCCTTCAGGGAACCCACCTCAGCTCCTGAGAAACCACAGGCCTCTGCCCTTGCTTGGATTCCACATCTGGGAAATGCTCACACATGCTCCACCCCAATCTATACACACCACATAGAAATGCAACTGTAACTACACAGATTCAATATCAGTGCTGTTTCACTTCATTTGTGTGTGCAGGGGTATGCATGCTTGTGAAAGTGTGTGCACATGTGTGTGGATGTGCACATGTGTGTAGGCCAGAGGAAGATGTTGGGTGTCGCCCTCTATTTCTGTATACCTTATTTTCTCAAGACAGGGTCCCTCACTGAACCTGGAGCTCACAGCTTTTTTGGCTAGGCTGGGAGCCACCAGCTTCCGGCAATCTCTTGCTCCCCCCCCCCCCCCCACCAGCGCTGGTGTGCTGGCTAGTCTTACGTTAACTTGCACAAACTAGACTTATCTGAAAGGAAGGAACCCCAATTGAGACAATGTCTCCATAAGAGTTGGCTATAAGGCATTTTCTTAACTAGTGATTGATGGGGGAGGGCGCAGCCCATTGTGATGCCATCCCTGGGCTGGTGGTCCTGGGTTCTATAAGAAAGCAGGTTGAGCAAGCCAGGGGAGCAAGCTATTAAGCAGCACTCCTCCTGGTCTCTGCATCAACTCCTACCTCCAGGTTCCTGCCCTGTTTGAGTTCCTGTCCTGGCTTCCTTCAGTGGTGGTCCACAACATGGAAGTGTAAGCCCAATAAACCCTTTCTTCCCAACTTGCACTTTGGTCATGGTGTTTTGTTGAAGCAATAGAAACCCTAACTAAAACAATAGGATTATAGATATGTGCAAACATGCCTGGATTTTTTTACCTGGCTTCTGCCGGGTCAAAACTTGAAACTTTATCCTTATGCAACAAACAGTGTAGCCATTGAGCCCTCTTCCAAGACCCATTAATTTCATTATTTGTGTTGGGGGACTTGTGTATATGTGTGTGCTACACATGTGTGTTTGTGTGTGTGTGGATAAGACTTCTACATGGTGTCTTGACACTCCATTTTAATTAATTAATTAATATTTTTTTGCCAGATTTGTTGGTGCACACCTTTAATCCCTATACTTGGGAGGAGCGGCAGGCAGATCTCTGTGAGTTCAAGGCTACTCTGGTCTACGTATTGATTTTCTAGGCCAGTGTGGGCTACATAATGAGGCCCTGTCTCAAAAATATTTTTATTACATTTTATTTATTTAAGCTGGGTGGTGGGATATGTGGCAGTCAGAAGACAACCCATGGGGGTCAGTTCTCTCCTTTTACCATGTAGATCCTGGAGATCAAACTCAGGTCCCCAGGTTTTGTGGTAAGTGCCTTTACCTGCTGAGCTATCTATCCAGCCCTCTATTTTTTTGAGACAGGAGCTCTCATTGAACCCGGGGATCCTGCATTTGGCTAAGCTGGTGGTCAGTAAGCTCTGAAGAACCAGCTCTCCCTGCTTCCCCAGTGCTAGCATAACAAATACTCACTGTCAGTTTTGTTCTTTGAGACAGAGTCTCACTATGTAACCCAGGCTGGCCTTGAACTCACAGATGTTCACTGCCCCTGTTTCCCAAGTGCTGGGATTAAAGGTGTGCACCACCCTGCCCAGTGCCTTGCCCAGTGCTGGAGATCTGAACTCAAGTCCTCATGTTTGTTTGGCAAGCACTTTACCAACAGAGCCATTGTCTCAGCCCCAATTTAGTTCTTTGTAGTGAAAAGGTAGAAAATACTTTGATTTACTCCCACCCCAGCAGACGTCTTGATTATCCTTGGGGATTGCAACTCCCTTTTAGACTGATTGAAGTGATTACTTTATTGATTAAGATAGTAGCTGCGTGCTGTCTCAGAAAGAATGTGCATTTTTCCTTCAGTAGCCTAGTAGCTCATGTATTTTTTTCAGTTAACAAAATGAATTTATTTATTTATTTAGTGTGTGTGTGTGTGTGTGTGTGTGTGTGTGTGTGTGTGTGTCTCGACATGAGGGTGTGAGTGTGCATTCATGAAGGTCAGAGGACGACTTGTGGGAGTTGGCTTCCTCCTTTTCCCATGTGGGTTCTGGGGGGTCCAACTTAGGCTGTCAGGGTTGACAGCAAGCATGGTCACCTGCTGATCTATCTCACCAGCCAGATGCATATATTTATATCTAAATGTCCTGGCTGTTGGGTTGGTCCTTATCTCTTGGTAATGTCCACTCAGCAACCCCAGGCAGCATGAAAATGTGTGAGACTATTTTTATTTGTATTTTTTGGGATATGGCATTGACTTGAGGGGTTACTGAAACGTGGGGCCTGGGAATCAGGGCTACTGAGTGTCAGTGTGAGAGATAGCCCACTGCACAGGAAATACCTTCTCCAACATGTCTGTAACATGTACATGAAGGGCATGCCCTTAGGACAATTCTAATTATTAGATACTCTGAATTAGTCCATGTCTTAGTTAGGGTTTACTATTGCTGTGAAGAGACACCCTGACCACAGAAACTCTTGTAAAGAAAATGTTTCATTGAGGGGCCTTGCTTACAGTTCAGAGATTCAGTCCATCATGGTGGGGGACATGGTGGCGTGCTGGCAGGCATGGTGCTGGAGAAACTGAGTGTCTTGTCTTGCAGGCAACAGGAAATCGACTGACACACTGGGCAGTATCCTGAGTGTATAAGACCTCAAAGCCTGCCTCTGCAGTGACACACGTCCTCCAACAAGGCCACACCCACTTCAACAAAGCCACACATCCTAGTAATGCCACTCTCTATGAGATTATGGGGTTGTGGGATTATGAGGGCCAATTACATTCAAACTACTACAGTCTGTAAAGCAAATGTTTATTCAGCAGCAACAGCAAATTTTGAATCTGAATTCCTTGACATCACACTTGGCACTAGTCCTGTGGTAGTCATTTGAAATCTAGATCATACAGTTGCTACACACTGATCTGGAATCCTCTGAATACAAGACTTTGTTCTCCAGTGCTCTGCCTTCTTGTATATGCCCTCTCATGAACTAGCATGGCTGTGTGCTATCTACATCCTTATGGACTGGGAGTTTGCCTATGATTTTCTAATATATTAAGAAAATATTGCCGGTGGTGGTGGCGCACGCCTTTAATCCCAACACTCGGGAGGCAGAGGCAGGTGGATCTCTGTGAGTTCAAGGCCAGCCTGGTCTCCAGAGTGGAGTGCTAGGATAGGTTCCAAAGCTACACAGAGAAACCTTGTCTCGGAAAAAAAAAGAAAAAGAAAAAGAAAATATTGTTGATGATATCCTTTAATGGGCCTTTATTGCTTGTAGAATCTACATTGGTGTCACCTTTTATTTCTAATATTCATAATTTTTATTTCTCTTTATAATTTTTTGTTTTGTTTTCATTTATTTATTTATTTTTCTTTTTTTTTTTCTTTTTTTTTTTTGCCAGACAGGGTTTGTCTATGTAGCCCTGGCTGTCCTGGAACTGACTTTGTAGACCGGACTGGCCTCAAGCTCATAGAGATCCTCCTGCCTCTGCCTCCTAAGTATTGGGATTAAAGGCATTCCTCACCTCACCCTGCTTGTTTTCTTTTCTTTTTTTTTTTCTTTTGGTTTTTGAGACAGGTCTTGCTATATAGTCCAGGCTAACCTGGAATTTGCATTGTAGCTCAAGCTGATCTTTAACTCTTTATTCTTAGTAGTTATTCGAGAATATTTCTAAGTGTTGTTTAGGTCAAGGGCATTGATAGTACATTGTCCATATATTTAGTAATTTTTGTGAATGAATTTGCCCCTTGGTTTGGCCAGTTTTGTTCATGTATCAAACCCAGGGGTTGGTGCATTGTATACTAGTGTCCTACCACTGAGCTCACCCCAATTGTCTACCATGTAAGAGAGATACTGTTTGTGTCTTAGTTTCATTTCTTAAGCTGGAGATCAAACTGAAGGCCTCTCTCTTTTTATATTTGTCAGGCTATTTTTATATCTTTTGTTTAGATTGGCTTTTTTTTTATTGCTCTGCCTTCATTCAATCTTTGTTTTGTTCCTGAGCCCATACACTGAGTTTTTAATTTTGGTTATCCTATTTTTAAAAGAACATTTAGATCCAGCAAGGGAATGTGGCTCATTTCTCCTTTTTTATCTTGAACAAAACCGAACACCTTTATTACTGGCAAAATAATGGGTTTTGTGACACTTCCATACATACATTTAATATTCTTTGACAGTATTCACACTCATATAACCCTCTCATACTCCCTCTTTATCCTTCCAAAGAGTCTCCATTCTTTTGAACGTTGTCTACTCCTTCATTACTCTGCCTATGAGAGAATATGATCCTTGTCTCTCTGAGCCTGGCTTGTTTCACTTAGCATGATGTCCTCTAATTCCACCATCAACACAATTTCTTTCTTCTTTCTTCTTAAATAATAGTCCACTGGGTATACACCACATCTTCCCTATGCATTGGTTCACTCACTGTTGGGCATAGCTGGTTCTGAAACTTCAACTATTGAGAAGAGTGCTGTGGTGAATGAAAGCATGCCAGCATCCCTATTGCCAGCTGACTCTAGTTCCTTCAGGCATGTACCTAGCAGTGGTATACCCAGATTATATAGTAATTCTATTCTTAGTGTTTTGAGGGACCTCCACGTAGCTGGAGTGACTTACCTCCCCACCAGCAGCAGACATCTCCTTGTCCCTGCATGATTGCCAGCATCTCTTGGTTGGTGTTTTCTTATGATAACCACTTGGATTGAGGTGAGGTGGATTTGCATTTCTCTGATGGCTAAAGAGGCTAAACTTTTTTTCATATGCTTATTGGCTAATTGTACTTCATTTGAAGCATCTATTTAAGCATATTTGGCCATTTGTTGATTCAATTATTTGTTCTTTGGGTGGTCATAGTTTTTAACCCCCCCCCCCCCTCTCTCTCTCTCTCTCTCTCTCTCTCTCTCTCTGTGTGTGTGTGTTTGTGTGTGTGTGTGTGCATTGCACAGGTGCCACAGTGTGTATGGGGA